AGCTGGCTGATCCCCGTGCACCGCCAGTTTGGCCTCTCGTTCGAGTCTCTGTGCCTGACTGTGAACACTCTGGACCGCTTCCTCACCACCACGCCGGTGGCTGCAGACTGCTTCCAGCTTCTCGGGGTCACTTCCTTGCTCATCGCTTGCAAACAGGTACCTCCACGCGGCGCCTAGTGGGCAGCCAACCTCCCCGCCGCCCTCTGACCGCCCGGCTCTCCAGCGCGCACCATTGGGGGGTGGGTTCCCTGAACTCACTTTGGCAGAAGTTTGCAAATTTATGCCTCAGCTTTAACTTGACAATTCCTCCATGCACGAAGGCCGATCACTCAGCCCCACAAATAAATAGGCAGCAGTCAGTCCCGAACAGCTCGTGTGGCACCTCTATTCAGAATTTCCGAAACCTATTCTTAGTCGGACGGTAGTTAGACGAACCAAAGTCACCTGCGCCGGGCGGCTTAAGTGGAGAGAGTGGAGAGGGGAAGCCCGGCTTGTGTCTCCGGAAGGGATGCGGGAAATCCCGGTTTTCTCCGCAGTGTCAGACCGGGGTGGGCCTCGGGCCCTGGGAGTCTCGTGGCGGGGCTGAGTTTGCCTTGTGTTGCAGGTGGAGGTGCACCCGCCGCGCGTGAAGCAGCTCCTGGCCCTGTGCTGCGGCGCCTTCTCCCGGCAGCAGCTCTGCAACCTCGAGTGCATCGTGCTGCACAAGCTGCGCTTCAGCCTGGGCGCGCCCACCGTCAGCTTCTTCCTGGAGCATTTCACGCACGCTCGCGTGGAGGCGGGGCAGGCTGAGGTCTCGGAAGCCCTGGAAGCGCAAGCCCTGGCGCGGGGGGTGGCCGAGCTGAGTCTAGCCGACTATGCCTTCACCAGCTACACCCCCTCCCTGCTGGCCATCTGCTGCCTGGCGCTGGCGGACCGTATGCTGCAGCTCCCGCGCCCCGTGGACCTGCGCCTGGGAGAGCACCCGGAGGCGGCGCTGCAGGACTGCCTGGGCAAGCTGCAACTGCTGGTGGCCATAAACAGTACCTCCCTGACACACATGCTGCCCCTCCAGATCTGTGAGAAGTGCAGCCTGTCCCCGAGCTCCCAATAAAACAGACCCTTGGTCTCCTTTGGGTCCTGGCCGGGCTGCTGGACCTCTCGCATCGCTTCGGAAGAGTTCAGTGTTGGTCCACAGAGAGGGCTTCAGGGCTCCTGCTTGGTGCAGCTGCAGGTTGTAAATAGTGTACGATAGTAGCATCTAGTGTTTTATTTATTTTGCTGAGAGCCCTCGAGGGAGCCGAGTCTTTCTCCCAATAAACAGACTTTCAATTGTGATTTGTCTGAATGCTGCTATTGTACGTGTCTGCCTGCCGGGAGGGAAGGTGAAGTCAGCCCAGGAATAGGGGCGGATGGCACCGTGAGAAGGATCCTTCGCTCCCTCCAGGTTCCCTCTAGTTGGCACGTCTGTGCGGGAACGCCAGGGGAGGCGGGTCCCGAATACTGAGGTTCTAGAGTTTAGAGATTGGGTGAGTCGGGGTCACTTGCAGACTTGAGTCCTGTGACCATCGTGTTAGGGGGCTGGCGACTGCACACCCCCATGGGGTCCAAAGGATACGGTGGAGTGTGAGGCAGAGTAGAACTCACAGCTGTCCGTGCAGTTCAGAGGGCCCTGGGGGCACTTGCCGGTGGGACTGATGGGGGGCTGGGAAGCGCGGAGGAGAGGGCCGCGCAGGCGCACGAGCGGAGGGTGGAGCAAGCAGTACCCACATTCTGAGAATCCCGCGTACAACGGACGCGAGTGGGAAAGTCAGCCCCCACGGTCTTTGCTAGTGGAGCCCGTTTACCGTGCAGTCACGTGGTTCAACTGTTCACGCAGCGACATGCGAGCCCGGGGTAGCAATGGCATAATAGTGATTAGAATGACTATTTGAGCGTTTACAGTGCACCAGGTACTGTGTTCAGCCTTCGTTATTTCAATCTTTCAACAATTCTACGAAGCAGAGTCTATTGTCCCATCTTTCAGAGGAGGACACTGAGGGGCAGAGGGATAAAACAACAGTAGAGTAGCTAGGATTTGAAGGCAGGTGATCCAAGTCGAGTCCCCTTCTTAGCCACACTGGTAAACTTCCCCCACTTATTGGTTTCTGGAAATTTTTAAGACCCCCCCTCCCTTCCTGAGGTATATGTCTAGTTACTCCGTGGTCTCCATTCATTAGAGACTAAACATTTAGAGACCCAGCATGCTCCTCACCTCCAGTCGTGTTACAGGACACGCTTTACAAAGGAAAAAACTGCATTGAGAAATGAGGCTTGGCTGAGTTCTTTGACTCTACAGCTGTCACACCGTCCCAGTCTCTGGTGAATCTGCCGCAGGCCCTGGATCTCATCTCCTTCACCTCCAAATTTCTTATCCTCTCTGAGCTCTGCACTTGATATCTACATTGTTGTGAAGCTTAAATGGGATTGAGAAGCTTAAAATGAGGTTAAGCTTACACGCTGTGAGGTAGTATAAAGTAGTGATTAAATGGGCTGCGGATCCAATTTGCTGGGTGACCTTACACAAGTCACATTTTAGGCCTACATCCTTGCCTGTAAACATGGGAATAGCAATAGCATCTATTTAATAGGGTTCAGGTGTGGCTCTAATGAGATGTTCCACACAAATTCCCCAGCATGGGTCCTTGTACATAGCAAGCCCTCAAGAAATGAAGACTAGTGGAGGTCTACACAATGAAGGGAGGAGAAGAGCTATGCAGGCAAACTTGGAGCCATGAAATAGAAAACAAATGTGGGAGAATGTTAACAACTGGGGGTGAATATATGGTTATTCACGGTACTACGCTTTTCCCCTAAATTTTCCACATGGTGGAAAGAAAATATTAGCTTAGGGGAGAAAATTCCAGTCATGTTCCACTGCATTTAGGATAAATAAAAATGTGTGACAAATACAAATAAAAAACAAAGCAAATGTAGAGAACCTTCTCTGTACTTCTCTCCAAGTGCTCTACAGAGCCTGGGTGCCTTACTCTGGGCCCCTGTTCTCCTGAGAGGTTGATATGCTAAGCTCTCTACGAAATTTCTCCTCTCTGGCTCAGGAAAAAGGAAGTGGTGATCCCCAAACTGTTTGGGTTGGGGGGAAGCTGTTCTGTGATGGTGACAAAGGAGGAGAAAGATCCTATCACCTCTGGCAAGTCCCAAATTACTTGGGATCGTCAGCCTGGCTGTAAAGGGGTGGGATCTGGCCCTTATGCAAAGGAGTGATTTTGGGAGGAGTTGTTTTCACCAGCATCTACTTCATCACTCGGCCAAGACTGCCAGAATAATCCAAACTAGGAGTCATATAATCATGCTATTCCAGGTCCTGTTACTACAGATAATCTATTGTACAACGCCCTTATTTTTCTACCCCAATTTGGAACTCATTGATGAGTATTTGGGAAATGGGCTTATCCTGGAAAATCCGTGATTGTCTCCATGTATAAAGATCTCCTTAAAACTCAGCTAAGAGCTCCCTAACTCATTTTACAGACCGGAAAGTGGGTAATTTTTGTTAGGGGAGGAGATAGACTGGCAAGTGGCTGTGCAAGTTAGGAACTGGAGGAGCCAGGAGACAGAGCCTAGAACAGGCTGCGGGAAGCTGGAAGGATTGTTGGAAGACTGCTATTTACAAAAATCAACATTAATTTACCAGTATTAAGCACCAGTCACTTTACATAAACAATCACAATTATCTTCCAAGCAACTCTATTGAGATCAGTGTTAGCTATTTTCCCTAACAACCTGGGGCTCGTGGACCTGGTCCTTTCTGTATTCTGACCCTAAAGCCAGGGCTCCTCACCATCAATGATATGAACTCTAGCGGGCTGATCTCACCTCAGTTTGGTTTCCACATCTATAGCTGAGTCAAAGCGTCTCTAAGTCTATTCCAGCTCTACTATTAGGTTACCCTTCACCACTGTTAGGGTTATCTTGTTTCTTACTACAGATAAGGAGTGCGAATAAAAGAGTGATGACACTTTTTAAAAGAGGATCTTGCACTGCTACTACTACTAGGTCCAAGGGGGAGTGCCCCACAGGAGGTCCACAAAGATTTCAATTTCAGATGGCTGTTCAAATTGGATATGAGCGGTCCTGAGGTGAGGCCCCTCACCCAGGGATACTCCTTTCTGGGAGATGCCCCTTCCCGAAGAGGGCTGGGGTTGGGAAGGACACCTGCGTGGCACAGCAAGGAGGCCGGCTGTAAAGAGAGCAGCCTGACATCGGGCTGGGCAACTGAGACCACCATGGGAGAGATGGTCTTAGGGGATTTAGGGCTGTCGGTTACGGTGTTCCCAGAAGCCGGAGGAGGATTTGTAGAGTCGCTTTTTTGTCACTGGCCCTCTTTTAAAGGCGGTCTTCACCTGCCGCTGTCTGTCAAAGTGTGGGGCTGGGGGTGCGGGGCGGGGCTCTTGGCCATAGTCCTAGAGACATCAAGTGGAATCCCGCGAGGCAAGACCCAGGATGCTGCCTAGGTTTGGGGGAAAGGGCTTCTGCAATCCAGAGGTGGCGCCGGGGACTCCCTGCCCGAACCCTACATCCCCACGACATCCGGCAGGGCAGAGCCAATGCTGGAGTCTCGTGTCAGCGAGCGTCACTCCACGTTTACTTCCTTCCTCGTGGTGGGAAGACAGGGAAATCAGCATCGTTAACGTCTCCGTTCCCGCCGTCCGTGGGCGGGAAGACGGTGCCCCGCGCGACGGGCGGCCCCGCCCTCTCTGCCCCTCCGCCGGCGCGGCCCGGGGCGGCGGCGCCAACTCCGGCCGAAAGGGCGCTCGCGGGCCCGGTCCCCGCGCTCGCGGCTCCCGGGGGAAGCCTCGTTGCCAGGCTGGGTTTCTCGCCTCCGCCCGCGCGCAGATTGTCCGGGGCTGAAAGCGCCACCCCTGGCGCTCTTTTGCGAGCCGCCCCGCCCGCGCGGCGCCCCCCCCGCCCGCCCTCGGCTCCTCCC